GTCAGTTGCACTGGATCAAGCAAAACAGATGGGTCGTGTGTTGGCTTGGGCCAAGAAGGATCTCGAGGATTACAGTCTCGTGGCAAGGAAGTTGAGGGCCATGCTTCAGATTGCAGAAGAATCAGTTACAGCTTTCAAGAAGGAAAGCATGTTCTTGACCCAAGTTGCTGCGAAGCTAATCCCAAAGCCTATTCATTGTCTCTCACTGAGGCTTACAACAGAATATTTCCTTATGTTTCCTACTGACCAGGACTCGAAAGCGAAGGACCCACGAATTGATGACCCAAGCCTCTATCACTATGCTTTGTTCTCTGATAATGTGCTTGCTACTTCAGTTGTTGTAAACTCTACTTTGACAAGTGCAAAGCAACCTGAGAAACATGTTTTCCATATAGTCACCGACAAGCTGAACTTCGCAGCCATGAAGATGTGGTTCCTCACAAACCCACCTGGAGATGCTTCTGTTTATGTCGAGAATGTGGATGATTTCAAGTGGCTCAATTCATCGTATTGCCCAGTTTTGCGCCAACTTGAATCTGAGGCACTGAAGGCATATTACTTTAAGGCTGAGCACCCTACCACTATCGCGGCTGCTGATACAAATCTCAAGTATAGGAATCCAAAGTATTTGTCAATGCTTAATCATCTGAGGTTCTATCTTCCTCAAGTGTACCCCAAGCTTGAGAAGGTTTTGTTTTTGGATGATGATATTGTGGTGCAAAAGGATTTGACGCCTTTATGGGACGTTGACATGAAGGGAATGGTGAATGGGGCAGTTGAGACCTGCAAGGAGAGCTTCCATAGATTTGACAAGTATCTCAACTTCTCGAACCCGATTATCTCCCAGAACTTCGATCCAAATGCATGTGGCTGGGCATTTGGGATGAACATGTTCGACCTCAAGGAGTGGAGGAAGAGGGATATGACAAGCATATACCACCGGTGGCAAAATTTGGTGAGTTATGGAATCTCTCTCTCTCACTCTCTCTCTCTCTATCTCTATGCACATGCACCAGTCTCCAGCTTACCCTCTCACCCCCACAACATGGAAAGGATCTCTCTCTCTCTCTCTCTCATCTGTCATTGTGGACTATTTGGTGTAGAATGAAAACCGAACGCTTTGGAAGCTTGGATCGTTGCCCCCAGGACTGATTACCTTCTATAACCTGACATATCCCATGGACAAGTCATGGCATGTTTTGGGGCTCGGTTATGATGCAACAGTGAATGAGACTGATATTCATGATGCGGGCGTCATCCATTACAATGGAAACTTGAAGCCATGGCTTGAGCTTGCAATTTCCAAGTTCATTCCCTTCTGGACCAAGTATGTACCGGTTGACCATCCTTATCTTCAACAGTGCAACGTTGTCTAGCAAGAGGACCCCATCGCAAGTTTTCCAATTTTCTCTAATGGGATGGGCATTCTTTACCTTCATTCTTTCAATTCGATCTGGGTGTACGTGTTACAGTGATACCCCATCATGTAAATTTTGAGAACCATTAACACCACAATTCAAAGGAATTGAACAATTTGTACACATCATTCATTTGAGACTGAAATTCAATTTGTACATGATTTAACATTCTTTTTTTTTTTTTTTTTTCTTCCTTGTTTTGCATAAATTTATTGTTACAGGGTTCAGAACTTTACATCTGTATCCTCTAGACTTGTGGAGAATTTCATTCTCTTCGAGCAGTAGTTTTGGGACCTTTTAGTGAAGCTATAGCATCGATGGTTTCCCAAGTAACGATCCTGATAGCGATTGGACTATTTAGTGGCTTCAGTTCAGAGGTGGTGTTTAATAATTGTTCTAGGTGCTGGCCTTCTGAAAGCATTGGATGGGCAATGATTTAATTCTACAAGCAGAAGACAGTATTGTTTAAAAAACCGGCGATAGTGCTTTCGCTCTTATCCCCAATAGGGATGCGACTCAAAACAGAATGCCTCCTAAATGGCTTCCTTTGGTTCATCTTTTATTTATAATTTTGAGATAAATCAAAACAGCCAATAATACTTGTAAAATGAGATGTGAGCCGTGTTGGGTGAGTGGCCGTTTAAAGCTTTATGAATGTTTGTAAAATATATATAT